GGAGGAGGAGGAGGAGGAGACGGTGAACAAGCTAAATTCATTTTTTTTTCAGCAAAATATTTATTGGTAATTTTAGATATATATGACTACATTCATCATAGGAAATTAGTACCTGTATATATCTTGCTTCTGTTTTTTTCCCCCATTCCCATCTCCCTTCAACCCCTCCTTACATACAAAAGTTTTGTTTCCATTATCCTTCTATTTTCTGCTTTTTCTTGTCCTTTCTTTCCTTTCCCCATCCCCCTCCCTTGTCCCCATTCCAAATATATAGCTTGATCAATTTTCAAACTGAACACACCCGCACCACACAAAGTGTAATCGCCACCTAGATTAAGAAATGGGACTTTTCAAAAATGAGAACCAAGACCTGTCACGTAAAGGTACAAGATCCCAATGATGAATGTAACTGTACTGTATGCCTAAAATGTACCAATAAACTCAATGAGGGAAAAAAAAAAAAGAAATGGGACTTTTGGAGGGCTTAATGGTACACCACTTGCCTAGTATGTGTGATGCCATAGGTTCAATCTGTAGTACCACTACTAAAAGAAAAAAAGGAAGGAGGAAGGAAGGAAGAAAATAGGACTTTATTAGCATCACCACAATTTTTCCCATACCTACCCCTCTCAGATACTCTCTACTTTGCCAAAGATAGCATTGTTTGGATTTTCATCACCATAAATTAACTTTGACTATTTTAAATCTTATACATAGAATAGTGCAGTATAGCTTCTTTTTTGTTTGACTCTTTGGTTCAAACTTACATTTGTGAGATCCATCCATGTTGTTTGCATGTAGAAAGAGTTTATTCTTTTTCTTTACCATATTGTGTTCCTTGGGATAAATGGAACACAGTTTATCCATTGTATTAATATGTAGATTGCCTCCAGGTTGAGGATGTTATGAAGAGGTGCCATAACGTTTTCCTTTGTCTCAATTAGTGTCCGTATATAGACATTTCTCTCGGGCACATGCTCACAAGTAGGATTATGCTGGCTCACAAATGATGCGCATATTTCTCTTTACTAGATAATACTAAGTAGTTTTCCAAAATGGTTATGGCATTTTCTACCTTCACTCCCAGCCCGGCCCTCACTTGATGTTGTGCCCTTATCTCATTCTAGCCATTCTGATGGTGTATCTTTCTCTCTCCAAGGACCTAGTTCAGTAGTCTTTTTCACTCATGGTTCCACTTGTGACTCCCTCCAACCTCCAAGTAAAAAACAGAAATCCTCCAACACAAATCTGAGCACACCATTCCCTTTCTTTTTCTTTTTCTTTTTTTTTTTTTTTTTTTTTTTTTTTTTTTGTATGGAGGATTGAACTCAGGTCCTTGCGCTTGCAAGGCAGACGGTGAAACCACTGAGCCAAATCCCTGGCCCTTCCATTCCCTTTCTTAAAGTGCTCATTTTGGCAGTACATGTACTAAAATTGGAGCAGTACAAAGAAGACTAGCATGACTCCTGTGCAAGGACAACATGCACATTCATGAAGTGTTCCACATTTTTAGATGCAAAGATCCTCAGTAAGACACAGGAAAACAGAGTGCAACAAGTCATAAAGAAGATTATACACCATGATGAGGTAGGAATCATCCCAGGGATGGTTGAATATACACACACAAATAAATGTAATACACCACATTAACAGAACCAAAGACAAGAATCACATAATCATCTCAATAGATGCAGGAAAAGCATTTGACAAAGTTTAACACCCATTCATGATTTTTTTAAAAAAACCCTACAGAAAATTGGAATAGTCTTTATCTCAATCTGATAAAAAAAATCTATGACAAGCCAACAGCCAACATGCTAAATGATCAAAAACTGAAAGTCTTCATTCTAAAATCAAGAACAAGACAAGGATGCCCACTATCATCACATTCTGTTCCAAATAGTTCTGGAAACATTAGCCAGAGCAACTGGACAAGAGAAAGAAATAAAAGGAATAAGGATAGGAAAGGAAGAAATTAAATTATCATTATTTGCAGATGACACGATATTCTACATAGAAGATCCCAAAAACTCCACTAAAAGACTTCCAGATTTAATAACCAAATTCAGTAGCATAGTTTGATACAGTCACACTCAAAAATCAATCACATTCCTATTCACAAATAAACTCAATGAGAGAGAAATTAGGCAAACAGGACTTTTCCCAATAGCATCCAAAACAGAAAGATAGAAAGAATGAATGAATGAAAGAAAGACCTAAAAATCAATCTAATAAAGGAAGTAAAAGACCTTTATATTGAAAACTACAGGGCCAGGGATTTAGCTTAGTGGTTCTGCTGCCTGCTTCACAAGTGCAATGTCCCAAGTTCAATCCCCAGTACCAAAAAAGAAAAAGAAAACTACAGTGATTTGAAAAAAGAGATCAAAGAGGATGTCAGAAAATGGAAAGATATCCCTTCTTCTTGGGTAGGAGGAACCAATATAGTAAAAATAGCCATAATTCCAAAATTGTTATACATATTTAATATAATCTTGATTGAAATACCAATAGTGTATATCATAGAATTAGAGAAAACAAGCAATTTTAGGCAACAAAGGGGAGGCAGGGGGCATCACAATCCCTGATTTGAAATTATACTACAAAGCTACTGTGATAAAAACAGCATGGTACTGGCAAACAAAGTAAAATAGACTTGAGGATCGCTGGAACAGATTAGAAGATGCAATAACAACTGCAAGCAAAGGGGCAGGCCAAACACTCATTGGAAGAAAGATAAGATGGCTGAGTGTGTATCTTCTAATCTGTTCCATTGTTCCTTGGGAATTTTTTTTTTTTTTTTTCCAGTACCATGCTGTTTTTATTCATTAAAAAATGTTCAACACCATTGATCTTTCGAGAAATGCAAATTAAAACAACACAGAGATGCCATCTCATTACAGGAAGAATGATGATCATCAATAAATCAACCAATAACAATCCTGGTGAGGAGGTAGGGAAAAGAAACCCTTCTCCATTGTTGATGGGACTGTAAATTGGTATAGCCACTGTGGAAATTAGTATGGAGATTCCTCAACTAACTAAAACTAGAGGTTCCATTTGACACAACTATTCCCCTTCTAGGTATCTTCCTGAAAGAGCATCACACCACAGCGATATATGTACACCCATGTTTATAGCAGCACAATTTGTAGTAGCAAAATCTTGGAAATGGCCTAGAAGCCCATCCATGGACAAATGGCTAATGAAAATGTGGTTTATATATACAATGGAGTAGTACTCTGCCATAAAGAAGGATCAACTTCAGACATTTTTAGGCTAATGAATGCACCTTGAGACCATAGTTTTAAGTGAAACAAATTAAGCACATATACTTAAATATTGCATTGTTTTTCTTGTGTGAAAAACTGAAATAAGGACCAAAACTGATGATGCTGGGAAATAGGAAGAAAATGTTCAAATGGGAAGGAGAACAAGGGATGGGGTGGGAGAAGGGCAGGAAGGGAAAAGGGAATAAATGATAAACAGGGAGAAATGGAAACACAGCTTTTGTAAACAAGGAAGGGAAGAAGGTTTGAAGGGAGAGGAAGGAAACAGAAAAAAAAGAATCAAGATCTATCATGTAGAGCACAAATTTCCTATGATAAATGTGGTCATTATGTATATCAAAAGTGTACTAATAAATTAATTTTTAGATTTAAAAATTCCAGTGGTTTCAATTGGGCTTGAAATAATTCAAACCTCTAACTTTTTTTCTTTTTTTCTTTTTTTCTTTTGAGACAGGTCTCACTGTGTAGTGGAGACTGACCTGGAACTCACTATGTAGCCCAGGCTGGTCTCGAACTCATAGTGATCCTCCTGCCTCAGCCTCCAAGTGCTGGGATTACAGGTGAGCACCACTACAACCAGCTCTAAACCTCTAAGTTTCTGCATGGTCTGGCTTCTACCACTTTATTTGACTTCATCTTTGCATACTTACCTTCATTCACTGTGCTTCAAACACACCAGCCTCTCCTGCCTCACCAAACAAACCAAGCTTTCTCCCACCTCAGTTCTTTGCATATGTTGGACACATCCCCACCCTTCACGCTTACCCTGCCACCTGCTTAACTATTATCCTTTTAGTTCTGGATTTACAAGTCACTTGCTCAGTTGAAAGCCCTTACATGGCCTCCCTATTAAGAGTTTATTTCCTTTGCAGCATTTAAAGCATATATTTCTTTTTTTACTTGCTCACATCCTATCACTAGACAATGAGGTCCATGAGGAAAAAGACATGGCATTGTTGGTCATTACTAAAAGCCCATATATGACACACAATAGAAGCTCAATATATCTTAATCTTCTGATTGATTTAATAAATAGTACCCCATGGGTGAAGGTTTAACATAAGCAGCCCTTTCACACTGAGGAATCAATAAAGCAAAATGTCATGAGAAACATCGTTTATACATCAGTGAAATCACTGTTTGCTGAGTACTGGTGGAATGGAATAAACCCTTTGCATCATGTGCAGCAGAACCCACCTCTGAGTGCCCTCCTAGTTGCCCAGGAGCATTTTGCCCAGTACAAGTGACCTTGAGGTGCCTTGGGACCTCTGCTGCCTACACTGGATGACTTTATGCAGGTTCATCCTTTCTTCAGATGCACAGTAGCATTTGAATTAACTTACCTGATTTATTATTTCCATAAGTGTGTGGGGCATTTTCCCCATCAGTGTTAACAAATTGTCACTTAGACAAATTAGAAAACCCATAAACGTGAACAGTCACCATCCATACGCTACTAACTTGCCATGAAAAAGCGAATTTGTCTCCTTCTAGTCTTTGTTCTTCCTTTTTTCCTTTATTGTGAGTTTTTAATCAGAAAACTCAGGAGAGGACTTGCCTGAAACCACTGTATAAAGTAGAGCATTTGGGAGATTTAATTAATCAAGCTCACCTCATCCTCTCTGCCCAAAACCAGCGGAGATATTAAAAGCTTCAGCTAAAGGACCTATTTTCAGCTCATTTGCTCAAATCACCTTCCACGCCTTGCCTTTGTGTCCTCAAGAGGGACACCAGGGAGCCTGGCAGTATGGCAGCGATTTAGTGAATTGCTGGGTTGAGTGAATATGGCACCCCCCAGAAGCCACACTTGCCTCCTTTCCCTGAAAATGACAAATTCTGTTTGGAAAAATTCACCACCTATAGGACCTCTATTCTGAGCTAGGCACAGTGCTGAGTGCCTTTCATAACCCACTGAATTTTCACAATGACTCCAGGAGCTGGCGTTAGCTCCAGTTTGCAAATGAGAATATCAAAGCTCAGTGAGGTGGGTGAATCGTCCACTTAGTGAGTGGCTGGTTCAAGCTTGTACACAGATCTCTCTGGCTCTTTCCTTGCTGATAGATTTTTGCCTTGGCTGAGAATTGCTGGAATCAAAGGATGAAGAACAGAGGGCCTTTCCTGTGCTGGGTTTTAAATTGCTCAGAAGCTCACAGTTCAGGTTGTCTGAAGGGGAATTGGGGAAACAACCAATTAATTGAGCTCATCACTGGGTTAGATTACTACTTAATAGACTCACTAAACCCTCAGGACATGGCCTCAATACAACCAGAATTTCATACACAGTTGTACTTCTTCCCCTGATATGACTGGATGTCTCACTCCCCACTATAACTCCCCACATGACACAACCCACACTTGTTTGAGGATCTGGGCCACTGCAGATGGGCAGGGCATGGTTCTGCAGCCCCAAGCTAACATGTGCTTCACTCTGAACTTCAGCTCCAGGAGCAAGGTCAGAGGCAGAGCCTGGGAACAGGACTGAATCCCAAGCTTGTTTTGTCCTGAGAACAGAAGTGACTGGGTTTCCTAGAAACACGGTGGATGGCAGAGAAGTTAAGGCAGAAGATCTAGAAATCACATCTACTAAATGAGGGCAGTGTTTCAACTAAAATAATTAAGCAAGGTCACTGGTGCCCTGGGAATATTTCCCATCTTTAGTCATATCAAGACCCCAGCTTTCCTTCAGCATCTGCCTCCTCCCTTCTGTGCTGCCTCCTTGAGGTGGACCATAGCTGAGCTACTCCTGACCCAGTGTTCTCCAGGCCCCAGACAAAAGGCAAGGTCACTGCCAGCCACTCTGAGCCAACTGTCCCTTGGAGTCCAACAGGGTCCTACACCTTCCTATACTGACAGGGACATAATAACCTTTTCTTCCAACAGTGAAGCTCAGTGCAGTGCTTTCCTTCCAAAGACAGGACAGGCAGCCTCAGGGACCCTGAGAGATCCAGTCTTACAAGTGTCCAGAGAAGCGCTCACTTGAAGAGTGTGTGGGCAGGTAATGTGCTCCCATCCAACAGCTATTTGCTAAGGGGCAGTGGCACACAGAGCAGGCCTATCACTGCCTTTACTGAGGTGACAAGCCAGTGGGGAAGGCAGCCATGAAATGTCAGCAAAAAGATGTTTCTGGGCATGGTGGTGCATGCCTACAATCCAGGCACTCTGGGAGGCTGAGGCAGGAGAATTGCAAGTTCAAATCCAGTCTGGGTAATTTGGCAAGACCCACC